TAGTACACTTAGAAGTTAGCACTGATCCTATCAGACATGAAATGGCCTAAAACAGATATTGTTGCAGCAGATCGTCACCGCAAAGTTCCGGTGAAGCTATCAGTACAGTGTGTATCAAATAGAAGAGCTGGGCTGGTCATGTGGCGAAAATGAAAGAAGACAAATGGGCAAAGCAGGCTGTTGAGTAGTATCTACACGATGTTATGAGAATAGAGGAAAGCCACACAGTTGCGGACCGAAAGCATCCGCCTAGATGACTACGTAGAATGACAGAGGCCTTAAAGAAGCAAACTGAAGAAATTATCAGCTGAGCAGAAAGAACGTTACAAAGGCACAAACAGAAAAGTGATGTCCACTTGCCATTTTTTGTTAAGCTTCTGTGTTTGTACCGGAAACACTTTGAATCTACGAATTCCTTTAGGAGAGAGAAAAAAAAGCAGATTTTTGGATTACTAGATTACTGAGCATCAAGCAACTGGAAAATCATAGCTAGCTGGAGGAACAGAATATGCGTTATTGGCTAATTTAAGCGCATCCTGGTGCTTCTTTGTTCACGATTCAAAAGTGCCCGAAGCATTTCTAAATGTAATAAAACGCCTCTTACGTAGTACTTTTTCAGCGACGCATAAAGCAGTGCGCAAGCAGTTTCTGCGTCACTGGCGTATAATGGCCCAACCACAATCGGTAGCACATAGCCACCAGCCACCTCTCGCGAGCACCCGTAACCAACCAACTGATTCTGAACAAACGAAAAAAAGCTGCTTTCAGAGGTCGCGAAGAAACTCGCATAAATTCATGCTTTTTGGTTTACGCAGGATGGCCAGCACGTGGTCAGCAGAATCGAAAAGGCCTGACCTCAGCAACTCCTGATTGGCTGTCGGGCCGGGGCGAGACGGCGGGAAAGGATGAGGGGCGGTCCGGGCTGGATGTCACAGACAGGGGTGGGGCGAACGAGAGGTCTGTTGGGCGGGGGTGGGACGGCGGGAAGAATTTTTGGAGCACTGTACCAAAATCGCCGAAATGAGATGATTTAGCATTCTAAAAAAATGCACGTATATGCATGATATACAAGAACTGTTTGAAATTTCTACAGCAATATGTGCTAAGCAAAAGTGTACGCAAATGGAAAAACCTGTTTAAAAGCGACAAAAACGTCAAAATTTTCTTGGCCGAGCCACTGCTTCAACCAGAGATCGCGTTTCAGCCCCGTCACGGAACTGTCGAATGTGGCCAGCGCGGAAAACTCCGAATCGGATAGCTCAGCGAACTTCACTGTTCTTATCGTTTCAACCTTAATGCACACGGGCGCATAAATACCTGAGTTACGGAACAAAGGCAAGTGATGGCCATTTTGCTGCGTGTCATTTAAGCTTCAGCTGAGGTGCTATAGAAACCCCTGGGAAATCAGTGGGGGATGCACAAAAACCATACGGCACAAGCACTGGAGAAAATACGCTGCGATTGGCGTGTAACGGCATCTCATGAACATCACTAGCTTAACACATCCACGCACCGACTATCTTGGCCACCTCGGTACTCTTGGTAGTAGGCCAAAAAGCTTTCGAGTTTTTTGCATGTATTTTGAAATTATCTAAAAATTTGATAAAATCATTCAAAAATTTGCATGTCAAACTATTTAGCAAAATAACTTCCATTCAAGTTCCAACCTGAAGTGTGGGAAAAGCGTCTGGATTGCTGATGACATACGTATTGAATCGCCACTGTGTCGGTGATAAAGTAAAACCAAAGCGAGCACTTTTGTTGGCAAGATGCGATTCTTCATTGGACAAAATACACAGATTTTTTTTAAAAAGTGATGAAACATTTCAATAAGTCAAAAGACAAGAATCTATCCATATTTCATTCTCCCCAAGAAGCGGAGGCACCCAGAAATAGCCCGAAAAGTAATAAATATCAACAGTAACCACAGCTGGAGGGACTGTCGATGACTCCTTCTTTTTAACTTCGGTGCCTATATTTACCTGCATGAAATATAATCGTTTGGCATGTGTCTTTTTCGCTGAATT